TGTTTGGCTCGCAAGACTATGAAACAATTTAATACTAATTACTATTAAAAGAGCAATAATGTACCGTAAATAGGTCATATAGTACTTACTATTAAAAATAATCGCAACGCAAACCCTACATTGTTCGTTTTATTACGCGTGGTGCCATTGTTTTGGTTTCCCAGATGGTCGTCCTCTGCTAATCGGACAGTTTTCTTTGCCGAACAAAATGTGAGCATTAAATAAGAGAGCAAACCCAACCCCCTAAATCTAAAGCAGCGGAAAATGGGGGGTAGGTTGAGAAAAAAAGAAAGAAAAGAAAAGGAAAGAGAAGAGTGTGGTTGTTACTTGTTACTGGTTACAGAGCAAGCAACCAGAGGGCCAAGTGTAGACAGACAGGAACAAAAGAAGGGGACAGTACAGTACAAACCCCATCCAATCCCAACTCGACAACGCATTCTCAAACCACGAAAAACCCTTTTCTTTATTACAAAAAAAAAAAAGAACCCTTAAATTCCCACATCTCTCATTTCATCATTTCCCATCCACCCACCCATCTTTCCTTCATTACATATTTACATTACGGTGATGAATATTTTTCACATGTACCAATACCACCAGCATTAGGTTTCTACTATTTCTCTCTCTCTCTCTTATCTTCTCTCTGAGGGCAGGGGGGGTTTCCAATTCTATATATGTGCATGGTGTCTTAGGCAGAACTCCATTTAGCAATCAAAGCAGAGAGGGTAAAGAAAAAGGAAACCCAGAAAAGAGAGTGAGAGGAAACACAGAAACAGAAACACATTCTAGTTATAACCAAGTAGAGGTGGCAATTCTTCTCTCTCTCTCTCTTTCTGTTTCCGTGTAAGTGTAGGTAGAGAGAGAGGTCTGGTAGCTGCTGCCATGCCATAGACACAGAGAGAGCTTTTACCATTTAGATTGGTTTTCTTTTCTTTCTGGGTTGTGTTGGTTTTTTGTGGGTTTGTTGAGGTCTGGCTGTTTGGGTTATTTTGAGCAAAGATCAGCTACCCACCTGAGGAAAAAATACAGCAAAAACAAGCCATCCATCATATATAATATACAGTCTTTAATTTAAGTCCTAGAATAGAAATACAAGTGTGTTGCAGAGGGGAAAAAGAAAAGAAGAGAAGAGAAGAGAAGAGCAAAGCAAAAAATGGGTCGGGGGAGAGTGCAGCTGAAAAGGATAGAGAACAAGATCAACAGGCAGGTGACTTTCTCAAAGAGGAGAGGCGGTCTGCTGAAGAAAGCCCACGAGATCTCTGTTCTCTGCGATGCTGAAGTCGCCCTCATCGTCTTCTCCCACAAAGGGAAGCTCTTCGAATACGCCACCGACTCCTGGTACGTAGTAATTCAATTCTATATAACCCTATTAGTATTAATCTCCTACCTAGTGTACGTTCTGTAGCTTTTAGTTGCTTCATTAATTTGCTTTCTCTTGTGTTACCGGCCGTACCAGCTAGCTAATTGTTTCAGCTTCCTTTCTCTCTACAACTATAATTCATGTGTATCCATGTACGCACTCTATATGCATAAAATAGTTTTCTTCAACCAAAACGAAGAAAGCGTAATCTGGGTTTTGGGTGATTTGTGTGAGCTAATCGAGTCTACGGATCTGATGGCCGGGTCATATTTTATGTTCCTTTTTTCTGGTTTTCCTCTCGTTAATTACAGCAAGTACAGTACGTAGAAAGATGGCTTCTTTTTGCCCGGTGGGTTTATCGGTGGTGCAACATCCAAGAGGACTCGTCTCTCTACTCATTATTTGTTAGATTTTAGAGTGTCCGCTTTGTTTTTGTTGTACGTTTGATGTGTCCTACTGGTGCTTTCTTTCTTCCTTGGAATTAGGGCTATGCTAATATATGGAGAGGCGAGTCCAGTTTTGTCTTGTTCAGATTTGGTTTGCTAATAGATGAATCAAATTCGAGTTGAGTTATTTATTAAAATCTCAACTCATCATTCAAATTATCGATTTAACTTAATCTCGGTACATTTATTTTAAAATGTTTATAGATTAAATATCATAATTTTTGTACGCCAAGTTAGATATATGTGATTAACGAATCTTGTGCTTATATATCCTATTGTTTAGTTCATAAAGTTTAATTTCATAGTAATTAGTATATAAGCAATCTATGATACTTAATTTTTCTTTTCAATTGTTATGTGACATATTTGCTCACATATTCAAAGTGGTCTTATATATCAATTGAATGATATATATAATTTATAAAATCTATGAATTATCAACAAACCAACTCATAATATATAGATCAATTTGCTCATAAGTTGGTAGTCGTGTTGGCTGGTTAGCCACAATGTTAAGACATCTCGTGAGCTCAGGACGCGACAATTCATGAATTGAGTTTAACAAGCCATTGAGTCGAGCTAGCTCGCGAGGCTTGCAAGCTTAACATAACAAGACTAATTAGCTCAAACTTGACTCGTTAGTAAACGAGTTGAGACTCAAACAGTCCCGAGTCGAACCTCGACCCGCTCTGCTCATTAGCCGCCATACTTGGAATGTTCGTCTTTAATTAATTCCGAAGGGGCCTTTATTAAACTCTTGGTATATATAGATAGATTAGATGGACTAATATTACACGATATATATGAATCAGGGTTTTCTCAGAAAGAATAACTATAGTAGTACTGTCTTGTTTAATTTGTACCTTGGTGTTGAAACAGCATGGAGAAGATACTTGAGCGGTATGAGAGGTATTCATATGCTGAGAGGCAGCTTGTAGCTTCTGAACTTGACACCCAGGTAGACAATTATGGACTATTTATCTACTCACCAAATCCTGATGATTAATTAAATTAATACACTGTATTTCTAAATGTTAATGAAAATAGAATTTGCAGGGGAACTGGGTTGTGGAGTACAACCGGCTGAAGGCCAAAATTGAACTTCTGCAAAGGAACCACAGGTATATGCAATTAAGTTTTCATTAATATGAAGCTCCAGAAAACTACTAAGATGGAATTTTATAGTTTGGTTCTTTTTCTTGGTTTGTTTGTTTTTTTGAACAAAATTTAAACGGGGATTAATATGGTTGGTGCAGGCACTATATGGGGGAGGAGCTGGACACCATGAGCACCAAAGAGCTACATAACTTGGAGCAGCAGCTTGATTCTGCTCTCAAAAACGTTCGCTCCAGAAGAGTATGTGTATATTAATATCATGCCATTAAATATTAATCAGTTGTGTTTAGTTAAAAGAATCATTAATTAAGATATCTATTCTCCCTTGGTTTCAATGGCAGAACCAACTGATGCAAGAGTCCATCTCTACCCTTCAGAGAAAGGTGAGCAAGCGATATATATATATAGTTAGATATGTACATGAAAGTTACTATTCAGTTCAGTCCATGGACCAAAACAGTGGTAATAAGTAGTAATTTTCCCTTACTGCCCAATGTTTTCTTCTAGTCTAGTAGCAGAAACACCTTCTAAAATGGGTTGGATGTTTTTATTGATACATTATAATTATATTAGCCCAACTGCTTAATGTTATGAGGTAGGTATAGGACTTAATTGCCCAATTGCGAGTCTCGTCTGTAGGCTAGGTTTCACACATCAATGAAACTTTGATTGGTGGAGAAGTTAGGGCTTACATATATAATATGACAAGACAAATGTTTTTGCATATCTTTTGACAGGAGAAGGCAATCCAAGAGCAAAACAATGTTCTAGCCAAGCAGGTCGGTTGGTTAATTTTTACTTTCCCAAATTACCATATCATCAAAGAGTATTATGAGAAATTTATCTAGTAAACCAATTCCATCCATCATCTTGTCAATTTTACAGATCAAGGATAAGGAGAAGGTAGTGGCAGTAGCAGAACATCAACAACATCAGCAGCAGCAGGCATTCTGGACACACCAAAACCAGCATGCTCCAAGCCCTTCACATTTCCTTCTCCCGCAGCACGCACCACCACTCCCATGCCTAAGCGTTGGGTAAGTTTTAATCATTTTGCACAAACTTGTTATCCATCTTACCAATTAAACGACCTCACCGAATCTTATTTGCTTATGCAGTGGGACTAGTTACCATGAAGATCATCATAATCATAATCATCACCATCACCATCATCAGGGTTCGGATGGCAGGACGAGCAGGAATGACCTTGACCTCACCCTGGAACCCATTTACTCCTGCAACCTTGGCTGCTTTGCTGCCTGAAAATTAAGATTTCGGCCGGGGGAACATCAAAGGAGGAGTTCAGTATCAGGCTTTCAGCCATGCACTCTTATTATATATGCACTGGCTAGCCAAGGCTGCTACTTTTGGTTGGCTTATTTAGCTCTTTAATTATATGTTTTGGGCACTAAACCATGAATGGTGAACTTGTTTTTATGCATTATATGTAGTTTATAAGCATCTTGGTGAGGTGAAAGGGAACATGGGGGGAAGGGACCGGATTTTGATATATTGCTCATGTTTCATCTTCTTTTGGAGATTAAGCTAATCCTAGTGATGATCATAACTAAAGCATATATGAATTTAGAGCCAATTCCTGTTTCATCTTTTGGAGATTCTGCTGATGTTTCAGTTCAGATTCTGGGTAATTAGGATTCATCAATACTTTCATGGTTGATGAAGTGAAACTGGGAAATAATGTGTTACCAGGAAATGGATTGATTTCTCTGGGGTCTGTAAAGAAAGCCTGATTCCTGATTTACGAAAAACATGCTAGCTGTTTTTGGACTTCCTCAAGAAATCTGGGGGGCAGATCATTCAATTGGGACATCAAGTCGTTAGTTTGAATGGAGATGCTTTGACAAACATGGATCAATTGCCGATCCCACTCAATCCCCTTTTTTTTTTCTGTTATTGGGTTCCGTATGGACAAAAAGTGGCTATGATAAAAAAAAGAAAAGAAAAAAAAGAACATGGTTGATTTTATCTACAGAAGTTGAATGAACAAATAGAACCAAAGCTGATTGTAGAATCCGGAGGAAGAAAAGTGCTTCTTTTTCTACAAGTTGGCAGGGCTCTGAGTAGGCTCTTTTTTATTATTCTCTCTTCAGTTTCCTTCATCAAATACAAACTCCTGAGGAAACAGTAAGGTAAGGAGTGTCAGTCGCTGAAAAATGCATAAGCCCAACCAAATAACTTATAGAGAAGCATAATTGGGAGAAAGTGCTTATTTCCCCAGAGCAAAAATCCACAACAGTTGTCCGAATGAAGCCCTTCTGTAAGAATTTGGCTATCCTATCTATGAATGGTTGTAGGTGCTTATGAAAAAGTGAGAACAACATGAGTGACTGCAATGTGCTTGTAACCAACTGAAGTACTAGTACATAAGGATGCTTAGGTCTAAACCAAACTAGATTTTTACTTTGATAAGGAAATGTTACTGTTGGAGAATTAACAGTTACCTTGTTGCATATTGGGCATGCTGCACTTCTCTGCGCCCACTCCAGTACGCAGGGAAGATGAAAATAATGCTTACATTGCATGTCAGTCCTCGGATTCTGGCTATCATACTCTGTCAGAACATATATATATATATAATCAACACATCCACCAGAAAAATTAATCAAACCATTCAAGTAGGTAATTTAATTATACACAAGTGAAAGGGTAAATCATGTATCAAAATTCTTACCTTCAAGGCATATGGGGCACTCGTCCACTGCACCTGATGGGGGAAAGTAATAGTCCGGAGCAGTAGCCTTTGAGGGGTAAATAACCTCTACTCCTTCTTCCTTGCTAGACATTCTGTTTTGGCTTCCACGCTGCAACACGAAGCACAGTAGTAAACCATCTAATTAACACCTCATATTCCACATTAGCAATACCCTACACTACACTACACTACTCAAATGTTAGTTCAGTCCTAGCTAGCTAACTGGTTTCTATATATGTCTATGTACCTCCATGAAAAGGGCGCTGGGTTTCTCTGAAGATCGCTCCCTGTAGTTGACGTTATCATCTTGTGTTGGGCTATCAGCGACATCAAAGCAGCATAGAACCCCACCCATTGAAGAGAGGAATTGTAGTTTTCGAACTTGTGATCTTAGTCGATCAATAATGCTTCTGCAGGACACGTAAAAGTAGACATTAACAAACTAGGAACCCTGATGGGCGAAGATAGATAGATAGATAGACACAGACGGTGAAACAAAGGGTTCAAATTTTCAGTCAGGTATTTACTCCAACACGTAACCGAAACACTCTGAGAAATCAGAATCCCGACACTATTTTGTCGACGCACAAGCGATAGAATGCTGGGAACTTGAAACCAGAGGAAACCCAATACTAAGCAAGGCAAAACAATGACAGGGTTGGCGAACAACATACATGGAAACAAATAGATTGGGGGAACAAAAAAGTTGCGACCTTGGCTGCTGGTGGTATGAAGTTGGGTTTGAATCTTTTGGCTGTTCTATTTTTTCCCCCTTTATTTATTGGGGAGTTTGAACTTGAAAGCTCGTCACTTTTTCCTGGGGAAAGGGGAAGAAATCAAAGTAAGAGTCGGAAAAGGAAAAGGAAATTTTGTTAGGGAAGTGGAAAAAATTTCAGCAGTTTTCTGACGAGACCATAACTAGGTAGGACTCAGACCTTCGGATTCTTCGACTGTTTGAGTCCTGACGAAGGTTACGGGCTATAGGAATAGGACTATAAGATTTTTCGTGCTCTCGAATGGAATTTAGGTATTTAACCATCAGCATTTCTACTCTACTATATAGTATTAGTGCTTTAATAACTTAAAGTTGTACCATAACATGAAATGTATAAGTTCAGATTGTACCATAAAAGAATTTGTACCATTATGTTATTGTACAACTTTACAACTTGAAGTTGTATCATCACATAAAAAAATTTGTACAAACAGTATAGGTATAATCCAAAGTTGTACCATAACTTTAAATGTACAATTTCAAGTTGTACCATAACTTTAACCATGTGATCAACAGATGTAGTGCTTTCACACCACGAAAAATAGATTTAGGGATGGTTTGGAGAATATGAGTTTAAATCTATAGATTGTCAACAATCTATAGATTCCAACTATTAGGATTGTTGAAAATAGATTTAAAAATGTTTAGTGTTTGATAACTGTGATTGTTAACATTCAATGAACATAAAAAAAATTAATTTTATTTAAATAACATGTATATCCTTAATAAAAAAATTAGAGTGGTTCAAGAAATATTAAAAAATTTGTTTATAAATATGTTTAATATAATCAATAAATAAAAGAAAGAGAAAGGGTAGGAGAAAAAAATTACAAATTAAGATTGAATCTCTCTGATTAAGAGAGATTTTATATGCCTAGATTTTAGAAATTTGAAATTTCTAAAGCTAAAATCAACAATACAAAAAAAGACAAAAAAAACTTAACTTTCTACAAAATTTACGGATTCAGAAGCCTCGCCCTTAATCCCGTGCTCCAAACGACCCCTTATTGTCTGAGGGTGTCACTTATCGCCATCGGAGGGCTACTATGCTAACTCTTTAGGGATTTAGCCCAGTGCTAATTATAAAATTTTATAATAAAATTATTATATAAAAAGTTTTTTTTTTTGACAAAGGACATTGAATTTCCATTAATTGTAGCAAAAGCCAAACATTACAAAAGGGGAGCAACCACATCAAGAATTTGAAGCCATTGTGAGGGCAATTGATTTTTTTGCACATGATCTAGCAACCCAATTAGCTTTGGAGTTATTCCTTCTACCGATGTGCTGGATCTTGATCAGCGGATTATCTTCCAGAGTATGTTTGATGAGACCCAGCCTTGCTGCCGCTCGCCATGGCCATGTCTTGGGGATGGCTATGAACTGCATGAACTAGGTGCAGGCAGTCAGATCTCACCAGGCAGGGAGCTCTGAGGGAGGCAACAAACCAGGAGCCCTCCAGAAGGGCCAAAGCTTCTCCTTCAAGTGGGGAAAAACAACAAAGTTTCAGCTTTACCATCACACACTTGACCATGGTTGTTCGAAACAACGACGCCATATGCCGCCTCCTGAGAATCGTTAATAAACGATCCATCGCAGTGTACTTCAAAGACATGAGTACCTGGCGGTGATGAAGAGTGCTCTTGGGGTGAGTTGAGCTGAGATGATGGGGGACCTGTGGTATGTTTCCGTGGGCACGTGGTCCATTGAAGATGTGTCGAAGCTGCCTTCGCGATAGTGGAGGGGGGCCATGGGGCAGTATTTTTGAAAATCTTCTCATTCCTCGCTTTCCAAGTCTGCCAAACGAGAAAGATGATCTTCTGAATCGAGTTGATCGAGTAGCTCTGTCGAAGGGAGTCCAACCATTCCAGGAAGGAAGAGAGAGGAGTAGGTGGAGGCAGTGAAGGCCATTCTTGGTTCCATCCCTTAGCCGCGTGTGGACAGGTGAATAAGCAGTGATGGATCAATTCCGAAGGGAAGGCACAGATCGGGCATACCTTCGAAGCAGCGCACTTCCTCGCAAAAGATTCTCTTTTGAAGCCATGGCCCCTCTGGTCACCCTCCAAACGAAAAATTCCAGCTTCGGGGGGATAGACAGACTCCAGAGCCACTTCCACCTTTGCTTGCTCGCCTCCGAAAAGACCTCGGCGTGTCCTTGGGCTTGTCTGACACGATTATGGAAATGAATGAAAGCAGACTTAACCATGAAGACTCCCTGGTCAGTGAACCTCCATGCCCAAAAGTCTTCAAGCTACTGAGGACCAATTGGGATGGCAGCCACCTGTTTCAGATCCTGTTGGCTAAGAAAATCAGCTAGCATGTCAAATTTCCATTCCCTCGAAACATCATCGATCCAATTGTCAGTAGTGGTATTGTCATTCAAATCGAACTGAAGGAGAGGGCCCGCCCTGTCGAATCTCCAGGGGTCTTGGAAGACCTTCGTTGTTTTACCATTGCCAATCACTTGAATCAGTCCTTGTCGCATCCATGCTTTTGCTTCACACAAACTGGACCAAATCCATGAGGCCTTTCCACCTTTTTTTGCATTAAGAAATTCCGAATCAGGGAAATAGATACTTTTCAGTACCTTGACCCACAAGGCATCCTTGTTGTTGAGGATTCTCCATGCCTGTTTGTGATCTCATGGCAGAAAGTATCCCCCAGAGTGCTCCAGTACTTTCTGAAGAAAAGGCCCGGGAAGCCATCGGGTCCTGGAGCCTTATTGGCTCCAAGATGAAACACTACTTTATGAATCTCTTCTTTCCCCACCGGTGCACACAAACCATTATTGAAATCCTCCGTCACCAAACTGGGGAATCCCTCCAGAATACTCGTGTCACAATGTCTGTTATTGCTGGTGAAAAGGTTGGATAGTAGTCTGTGGCATGGTCATTCAAATCCTGAGCATTATCAATCCATAGCCCTCTTGAATCCTTAAGCTTGAGGATACCATTTCTGTTCTTCCTTCTGATGGTACTAGCGTGGAAAAAGCGGAGTTCTGATCCCCTTCTTGTAGCCAAGAGATTCTAGACCTCTGGGCCCAGAAGCTCTCTTCTGAGATCCAAATGGATTCCAGTTCTCGTTGGAGTTTCCTTTCCTCAGAAGCCCTATCCGGGGAGCCACTTGCTCCTTGTAGTATTTGTAGTCTCTGTCTGATCTCTTTTTCTCTCTTCAATTTGGTGAGCCTGTCTTTCTTTGCCCAGCCCTGTAAATCTTTCTGGAAGTCTATCATAATAGTATTCGTATTCCCACCTCTCATCCATCGATCGGTAACAATTTGACAACACTCTTCGCTCTCCCTCCACCTTTTATCAAACCTGAAGGGGGTGCAGTGAGCTTTACTTGCTGGATGAAGGTCAATCCTAATTGGACAGTGGTCCGATTCCACAAAGTCTTCGTGATAAACCGTGGCCGCCTCAAATTTTGTTCTCCAAGAGGTCGAGCAAATAGCATGGTCAAGCCTTTCTCTAATCAGATCATTCCCTTGCTGCTTGTTGCTCCAAGTAAAAACTTGGCCAGAAAACCAAGGTCCATCAAAGCATTCCGAGCCATGAAATACTTAAACGGAGAGACATTTTCATTCCTTAAAGGGCATCTTCCCTGCTTCTCAAAAGGAAAGACAACAACGTTGAGGTCCCCAACCACAAGCCACATATCTTCCTGACTCGACCTTAGGGTCGTAAGTCGATCCCATAAGTGTCGTCTCTCTACCGCCGTGGTAGGAGCGTTAACAAAAGTGCAGAAAAAACTAACCCCATTCTTGCTAATTGATAACGATGTAATTGCACATATTTGCGCCCCTAGTTCTTATTCGTTTGAGGGGCATAGTCGTGTGTTTTGGCCTATTTTACGCCGGGTTGTGCTATTTTGTCATATTTCAGGTCCCAGGTGTCAAAGGGAAGGTTAAGCACGAGTTTTGGGGCATTCGGAGGTCATTTCGTCAAGCTGGGGCCAAAACACGGGCACACTTAAGGCATTACACGGCCGTGTTCTTGTGGCCGTGCTTTTTATGCCGAGAGCTGAGCTGATTACACGGGCAAGGCCGAGACAAAGCACGGCCGTGTTCAAGCATTACACGGCCTTATCCAACGCGAAGCACGGCCGTGTTTCTTCCCAACTGCTGGCCGTGTAATTAACCCTGGCCGAGGCACGGGCAGGCTCAGGCAAAGCACGGCCGTGTCCTCGACCGTGCTTTGGCCACTGATGCCTTTTTAAGCAGATTTTCAGCCAAATAGAAGGGATTCGAGTTTTTGAGAGATAGAACGATTCCTAGAGAGAGAAAGTGACGAGCAAGAGTTTCCAAGTGCCCTAGATTGATCTTCAACACCATTGGAGGCCAGTTTGAGCTTGGAGAAGTGCCGATCAACATCCAGGAGCAGGAATCCATCCTTCACAGTATGAATTCCGCGTCTGATTCTGCTTTTGCTTCTTTCTCTATGGAGTAGTTCTCCCATTCATCTGGGTATGGAGAACCCTAGATTTGTATGTTAGGCTTTGATTGTATGAACCCAAGTACTGATTCTATGATTTTGATTATATTCGATTGAGGTTTGAATGATTGAATGACTTGAATCCTGATCAAATTCCTGTTGTTTCTGCTTTAACCTAGAATGAGAATATCTGACTAGGTTAATAGAGTATCCTTGATTGAAGGTAGGGAGTTGGTGACTTTAGTCGAGGAACCAACTCACTATTCTGTACCGGATTTACTCCGGTAGTGGAGGTTTTGTTCTTAGGGCCTCAATCTGTCTACTCCGGTGGAGGTTAGTCGCCCGCTAGAGATTGAGATTGAGAGGGTCTGAAGACCTTTAGTCGAGACTTCAGGCTGTTTAAGAATCTTCCGCAGTATAACTATCATAGAAACTGAACTTGGTAATTACAATCCGGCTTAACTGCAGTCTAGGGGGAACCATATCCGGGTGACCTCTCTTAACCTGAATACAACCGTTTACCTGCTTTGTTTGTTTATTAGTTTAGACTTGCATTCCAGTTTCATTGCTAGATAACAAGAATTCACCGAGTAGTCATCAAATCTAGGACCCGGGTTGACATATAAACCTAACCCGCTATACTACGCTTTAGGAAGTGGTTTCACTTGGCCAATTCCTAGGGTGACAGTAGAGTCAAGTCAAGTTTTTGGCGCCGTTGTCGGGGACGGCTAGGTTGTTGAAGAAAAGTGATTTCTGTTAATTTAG